AAATTTTTTTTCGTTCTATGACGCCATCCTGGGGAAATGTAAAGATAAGTTCAATATGTAATTGTTGTTTTTGTGTTTGTATATCCATTGTATTATCCATTCCTTGCAGAATGAGAATATCTAAATTTGACAATACCTAAATTTGAGAAAAAGATTTAAACTACAAAATACTTGCAAATGAGTTTTTAATTTGTGTATTCGATTTGGTGTACAAGATTTATTATGCAAAGCGAAGAAACTTTAAAATAAATTCTATAATCTGTACTTTTAGTACTGTAAATCATCTATATACTACTTTACAGTTTTGTACTCTTTGCAGAAATTCCAATCCAATATTTCATGGATAAATTTCGCGTTCGCTTTACATGTAAAACTGCAAATGTATAGGTTTTCGAGACGTGCATATATCCTCCAGAAACTATACACAATATATTAAATGCATTCAACGATATAATTACATAATCAAACTTCAAAAATATTATATAAACATTAAGTTTACCTTTGGTAGACATATTTTCGACTCCAACAATACAATGTCTTTGGTTTTGACCGCCATCCAAAAAAACACTGCTTCTGCTTTCTGCTTTTTTAACCAAAAACGATCGCGGCATGTTGATTTGTAACAAATATGCAAAAAAAACTAAGCAAAAAACTTCGAAAATCTCAGTAAGAGTTTTGTGTGCACAGCTTTATAGTTCTAATAGACTTGTGCAGACTATCAGAGCTCGCAAACTATATTAACAGGTGCGAGTCGACACTTGGAGTTTATAAATATCGATTTTTATTTAAATGAACAAAGTGGGCATGTATGCTACCCGTTTTTATCTCTGATAGGCATCATGGCAAAAGATTTTCGCGTTAAAAAAGTTCACGCCTATATTTTCTTCGGCAGATGGAAGAAACTAAATCATGCACTAAATAATTGTAATGTTGTGTTTTTCACAAGCTTTACTGCAATTTATTGGACATGCAGGGAAACTCAAAATGTGCATGCCTATATTTTGGCATCTTTCACCGAGATATATATGCATACATTAAAGAGTGACTGAGGACAAGTGATGTTTTGTCACAGAACAAGTACAAATATACGTTGACTATAGGGGTTGTTTATCGCAAGTGAAGAGCCATACCTCACAGCTCTTGTTGAATGCGACAGCGTGCGTTCATGAAAACAACATTGAACCATGCACAACATAATGGATTTATTAAATTTATTAATGTTGCATTTTGCCTAGGTTGCACATAAATATATCGAATGCCACCATTTCTGATGCCAAAACTTATATTGTCAAAAGTATCTATCGTGACATTTCTGTAGCGTAAATATCAAATTTTATGCACGCGTCTAAGTGAATTTAAGTTTGGCGGCGACTTGAAACAAAATGGCAACCAGTGACCCTTTGTTATACAAAACAAGTAAAGTTATTGACAATAGGAATCAAACAAAATATATCACTCCAAATAAAATATTTTTTACACCTGAGATTCAAGCAATAAACTGATGAAAACAGAATATATACGGCAATATATTATTTCAATGTTTTTTTTTGTCTCCTTTCAAAATCATAAAGAGTTCGTGCTCATAAATACTGCAATGCTGACAAAAGCACATACGATATTTGTTTTTATGAAGTTATTTAAGAAATCGAGTATACAATTTAATTCCAGCTGAGTAAATTTGGGTATATATATGGTATTGAATATGAAAATATCTGTGTTAAAAGATATACATCAGCACTCCAATAATCTTTTTGTAAGGGGCTATTTATAGAAATACTTGAACATCGAATGATGTATATTCGAGTATATAGATCTCCTGGCTTATAGGGGAAATGTCTGGGGTTTGGCATACATGGAGTCAGATGGCCCTGAAATCTTTTAATTTGCGTGCCTTTTGGAGACAACGATTCGATCATTTTAATTATCACGTTGGTCAAATTTAGCATATTTTCTCCCACTCGTGCGGGCTCACATGTCAGCGGACACCTCGCACAAAATTAGGATATAGATTCATGTCTTGTAGTTTGCGGAGTCAGAGAGTCAGCATGTTGAAGATTTGGCGACTGAAGTTACACACTTTAAAATTGTTAGTCGTGAAATGTTCTATAAGTAATGTTTACAACATGAGCGGCCGTGTTGTATCAGATATGCAAACTCGAGCCGAAGGCGAGAGTTTGTATATCTGATACAACACGGACGCGAATATTGTAAACAACTTAAAAACGGCTCATCTTATGAGTTCATTGGCGAAGTACATATACAGATACGACACGCTTATGATTTTTCTTTGTGTTTTCTTCATGAATTATTAATGAGTTTTTTAAGGCAGGATACAAGGATTGCCTTGGTTGAAATTAATTTTGAAAAAAAATATTGGGATTGATATGTTCTCTATAAAAAATGAATACATTAGTACTTATCTTCTTACTTATGCTTGAAGATCTTTGCTCCTGACCAGGTATTGTACTTTCCGTACGTTGTCACACGAAACTGCAAATGATAAAAATAAAAGTCATGAAACCAACTTTATTTGCACTGGTAGCTCTTATTTCTTAACTCTCTGTACAAATCAGTTCAGTTCGTATAGCTCTCTCTTTATTGAACTAAATTTGTATTAATACTGGATAGCTCTATCAGTTCTAAACTGTTTTACCGTTCTATCTTGAGGTCCATGCAGTAAGTTGGCACTTATATTGAGTAGTGTTATACTACAGGAGCTATAGGAAACATAAACTAAACTAACTTTATTTATACTGGATAGCTCTATCAATTCTAAACTGTTCTCCCTAGAGGTCCAGTAAGGATCACCTCTCATTGATCCAGTGTTACTACAGGAGGAAACCTAAACTAAACTAACTTTATTTATACTGAATAGCTCTATCAGGTCTAAACTGTTCTTCCTATAGAGGTGAGAGGTCCAGTAAGGATCATCTCTTATTGATCCAGTGTTACTACAGGAGGAAACCTAAACTAAACTAACTTTATTTATACTGGATAGCTTCACTGTTCTCCCTAGCTATATAGGTCATGTAGGGATCATCTCTTATTGAGCCATGCAATGTTACTGCAGAAATAAGCCTACATTAAACTAAGTAAATTTTATACATATATATATATATATATATATATATATATATATATATATATATATATATATATATATATATATATATATATATATATATATATATATATACTGCATGGATATCTCTATCAGTTTTAATTAATTAAATTATTCTCCCAGAGGTCAAGTTTGCAAGGCCAAGGATCGATCATCCTTATATTGGGCCATCTTTTGAGTTTTGTAGTAATCCGGCCTGGCTGTATATACAAGAAATATTTGCTCATTAATCCATGCATGAAAAGAACAGTTTTATGCACTGTAAATTTTGAATAACTTATCTTAAGTTAAAAAACATTCTTATATAATTGTGCATGGCTCGACGGTATAATTATTCCACTATCTCAAAATCAAAAATGGGGACAAATCTTAAAATCTCAAATTTTATCTCAGAATTAATTTTTTTGCTTAAATCAGAATTATACTCATCATGTCAAACGCGAAAAAATACTTGATGCAATGTTCCACAGGACAATTCTTATATAGCCACAATTCGCAGTGCAAGTCTTTGTCGAGCCAATCAAATTTCATGAAAACATAATTTACATTGCGAAAATTATCCCTTGGGACATTGCGTTTGACGTCATTATATATATATATATATATATATATATATATATATATATATATATATATATATATATATATATATATATATATATATATATATATATAAATATATATATATATATATATATATATATATATATATATATATATATATATATATATATATATATATATATAGTTTTTCGTTTTACCTCAAAAAACCACAACAGTCTGTTTCATCCGTATAGGAATCATCAGGTGGTCTGATGATCCCTATACGGATGAAACAGACTGTTGTGGTTTTTTGAGGTAAAACGAAAAACTATATTACGCTCTATCTATATGGTATTATATATATATATATATATATATATATATATATATATATATATATATATATATATATATATATATATATATATATATATATATATATATATATGGCCCGCCCGGCAGACGAACAGTCCACCACGACTCAAAGTAAAAAAGTTTATTACAAACAAACTCAGACTAAATTTTCGACTTGCATGCCGGAACCTTCGTCCGCGCGATAAGGCATCTACTTAGCTTGACGAATGTACACAGGTTACAATACGCAGTTAAATTTTGTCAGCAAAACCGTGGAGCAATAAAGTCAACAGATTTAAAGAGCACAAACTCAAATTAAGCGCACAAGCTGGGCAATAGTCTTTGTTACAAAAGGTGTAAAAATCTTAATGCCATTCTGGCGCTTAGAAATGGCCAATATCGTCAGATAATATACCCGTGCTGCGTATATAATACAGTAATAACTCGGTTACATATTTAATTAAATGATTATATTAGCGCGACATATATATCCCTGTATAGCAGATGTTTAGAGCGCTGTACATGACATTGAAAAATAAAACCCTTAAGATCGCTCGTATAAACATTATTAAAACTTCAAAAGTATGATTGCCAGGCCCTTGACTTGAATTCGTTTATTTGAATTCCTTATAAAGCGGCATAAGCTAAAATTGTCTTTATTGGGCAGGCCACTTGAACTCGAATGCCGAAATGCATGAAGCGTCTTTGCGCTATTTTGTGACGTGTCTTTACTTAATCTCATTGTCCGTTGCTTTTTTGCCTAAAATTTTTATCATTAAGAGGAAAATCTTTCCCGTAGTATAAATAATATAAATCACAGTTTCAATCAAACGAGATTTCACAGCGTAAAGGTGGGACATTGTGCAAAGACAATAAAACTGCTGGGGCAGCCAATAACACGAAATCGTAAGCACCTGTCAGGGGTTGGAACTACGCATGCGCGAGCCTCTCCACCCGCGGTTACCATAGCAACGACCTGCTTAACTGTCAGGATATGACATCGCGACGATTGGCGCGCAAGCTTTTCGAAATGTCATATAGCATAAAACGCCAAACTGCTTCAGGATCGCGCACAGAATCCACACATCGTTGAGTAAAGAGGATTTGAATATATCCAGATAATGCCGAAATCGTTCTTGGTCAAAACCGCAAAGCGTAGCCACGGAATGGCTCAAAGTGCACTTCACGGCACTATTAACCATGGTAAGGCTTGGATTTATTTCTTACTATACAGATTCAATACTTAATTTTAGTCTTAGGGCACAAAGTCTCGAAATCAACGCCCCCCAAAAACGCAATCTTATCGAGGTTCGATAAAAAGTTCAGATTTTGTTACGAATCCTTAATTGATCGGATATTGGGTTTATAATCCCCACATTCGCAACGCTAAGGCCATAAAATTATAAATGAACCGTTTATTTTCGTAAACGGATCAATTTGAAGTTCGTAGACCTGCAATGTCAAATAGGGTTCGCTTCGGTATTGTCAGCCTATAGCTAATAGCGGAACACCGAAAGTAGTAAAGGCAAGGTGTATAGTACAATTTAGTTAATACTTAAAAGTTCTGAACAGTCAAAGACAATCGCATGCCATTCAGAATAAATGGTTCCGATATACGCACTAAGTAGGCTTATCTCGATAATATAATACAATAAATTATTATGAGGCTAAAAGTCGTTATCAATATTAGTATACTGCACAACCCCGTGCGTTTCCCAACGAGTGTTATTAACAAATCAGAGAGGTGACATTAAGCCGATGTTTGAGATTTTAGTTCGGCATATTCTACCGAAAGTTTACATAACCGTTGGTCTTTTGGCGTGGTTTTTACGGGTGGGATTTTATTTCTAAATTTTATTTTTATTTTAAGATGCAGATTCGAAGGCAAGTTTAGAAAACGTAACGGCAGATGGCGGCCATGGAAATTTTAAAACCTCTCAAGTTAGCGTGCTAAACCACTTACGAGGCATCGCCCCCAAACAGGCGAATGAAATTTACGAAAAATCCACATTCACTCAATTCGCATCTATTAATCGAAGCAATTCCGGACTAAATAACGGTAAGATTTAAAATTCCTCGATAAGAAATCTTAATAGATTTAACATCGTGTGTAATTAATACTGATTTTTGAGATTTACATTGTCTAGTTGTCGCAGCATCCAGCGAATTTTTAATCCTTATGGCGTATTATACAAGCCTTTGGTTTTGTTGAAAATCTGTTTTCGCCAATAAGTGGGGGAAGGCTTTTACACTATGCTAATTTCTAAAAGAAAATCGAACAGTTTGCAGTGCGGAATTGTGAACAAGTACAATTCGCGTGTTTAGATTTTGCCAAAATCCACAGGAGATGCCGAAGCGATGCATTTAACCTATTCCGAGCTTGTATTGAACTAAAATATTTCTTGTTGTCAGGGGTAAAAAAATATTCTAAAGAAAATAACTTATATTTTGTTTCATTAGTTATAAAAAATTATCGATAATTCTGCCTTTGCTATAGTTACAAATATTTATACTTTTATGTTGGGACTAACTACTGCTAGGTGCATATATGACCAGATACTTTATTAAAATTGTATCTTTTATTAAACTCTGAGCTAGCAATTAAATTAAACGGTATTTTTTATAAAATGGTGCTCCTCAAGGATCCATTTTGGGTCCTCTTCGTTTTCCTACCTCTGTGGATCACAATTGTCAGCTACTGTATTGTAAAATGCATTTACATCAGATATCTTATGTGGTTATAAGGATTCTCTGTAGTTTTTTGGCAGAATACTGGAATATGTTGATACCGCTATAACTAAATATTTTTATACTACTATAACTAAATATTTTTATACTTTTATAATAATTTGAAATTCTGATGTTGCAAGAGCAACAAAATGTCAGTTAATTTTTTTTAGTTTAATATTTGTCGAACAGTGGCTATAGTATATCTGTCTTTTAATTTACTGCGTCCTCTCCGGGCAGTGTCTTGCAGTAATGGATATACTGTTATCTTCAGTTATTACTAGGGAGAACAGTCACAACTGACAGAGCAAGTTTAGTTAAATACAAAGAAAAGATCACATTTTTTCAAAGCTGCAATTCACAATGGCCTACATGTTGGGTATCTTGTGCAATGTATTCTATGGTATAACGTGGTATGGTGGACTTGGGGCGCTGTAGCCAAATGAGTTATCGACATATTAAAAAAGTTCAGGTGGTTCTTTATTCAGTTCCTGGTTCTAAGCCCTTTGCTCGTTCTCACGTCACCAGCCTCGTAGCCAGGGCTATATTTCACTCAGCCACTCGTTAAAACGAGTTTGTCACGTCATTTGCCAGCAACATGCATGGACAAGGTTCAAAAGCTTTACACGACACTCGCACAAGTGTGTTGTCCCTTAAACTACGTCATAATTTAGGAACATCAAGCACATGCTATCAATTAAAGAATACCAAATCATTCCATGCGTACAAAATACAATACATAGGCACGTGTTTTTAGCTTTTCGTAAGCCAAATAAGGGAAGTTCCTTATTTGATATCTGTAGACTTGGCGAGAACAATTTAAGACTGATAAACCCATCCAGCAGAAATAAATTTAGTTTTTGTTTAGTCTGGCTATAGTTTTCCTTCTGTGGTAAGATCAATAATAGTTAGAACTGATAGAGTTATTCAATATAAATAAAGTTCGTCTAGTTTAGGTTTCCTCCCGTAGTAACACTGGATATGGGATGATCTTTACTAGACCTCCAGGAAGAACAGTTTAGAACTGATAGACAGCTATCAAGTATAAATAAATTAAGTTAGTTTAGTTTAGGTTTCCTCCTGTAGTAACACTGGATCAATAAGAGATGATCCTCACTGGACCTCTAGGAAGAACAGTTTAGAACTGGTACTGCGATAGAGCTATCCAGTATAAATAAAGTTAGTTCAGTTTTCCTCCTGTAGTAACACTTACTGGATATCTAAGAATAGCAGTTTAGAACTGATAAAGCTATCCAGTATTAATAAATTTAGCTAGCTTAGTTTAGGTTTCCTCGTGAAGTACACTGTCACTGGATTAACAAGAATCACAAGCTCCCTATACTGGACCTCTAAGGAGAACAGTTTATAAATGAGATTAGTTTAGGTTTTTAGTTTAATGAAAGGCAAGGAAGAACAGCATGTAACAAAAGGAACTTAAGATGTTATACCATGCACCAATCATGCATCCACCTACGCCTCTCATCTCAAGCACGCGGTAAAGACCACCTCTATTGAAGAAAACCTTTTGGCATGTCATTTTGTCAGAAGTTAATTTCGGTTTCGTCCTTTTGTGCGTAAGCAGTTAAGATGTTGTGACGTCAATTTGCCACCAAAAGTCTTGCTCTAATGTCAACATGCGATCAAAGCAAGCTCCTACAATACGACCTAAATCTTGCATGCTTTTGTGACTCTTGAAACGATTATCACGTTGCAGTCTAAGCGGCTCAGGCCCACGCAAGTACTCAGCTTCCTAACATTAGAGAACTCTTTCGAGTTATTAAAAGCTGTATAAAGTAAATATTTTTACCGCGTTTTCAAGTGTTTAATATAGCGGTCCCGACACTGAATTGAACGCGCAGCCGGATCTTAAGTGCCTTTCTCAAAACAACGCTTTGACTAAAATACTGAGACTATATAAAAACTTATTGAAACATACTGAAGGCTACATATGAAATTACTCAACTCTAGTTGTACATGTGTTTGTAAAATAAAATCTAGCTGCAAGAATCAATAAAAACCACACACACACTACAAAACTATGGTGACTGTTTTTTTAGGAAACACTGTTTGACAATTGAAAATAAATCCTTAACAATTCGAAGCCATCTTTGTCATCATGTCGTAATTTTTATCTTTTGTTTAGTTTGAGTTTACAAATTATATTTTGGAAGTCATACTAAATTGAACGTTTTCGGATGCCGGTGCTGCAAAGACTCTGTTTAGGCTTTTGACGAGCAAATTTAATTTCTACAAGTTCTCAAATGTCATGCAATTTTCGTTGCCAATTGCACGTGCGTACCACGTGCAACAATCAGTTTATTGAGTTCTTGGTATATAGAGCATGATTTTGTATACGGCAAAAAATCTATGGACACAAGTGTATATATAATATACATGCGTTTGTATATTGGGGAAAACTCTACTCGGAAGCCATAAGCATGTACAAGATTGACACGAACTTTGAATGTCGTCTAAACGTCTCATTAATCTTCATCCATCATGCAATGTCACGAGAACATCTGCAAAAGCGAGACATAAAGAATATTTTTGAGCGGAGAAAATACGCCAATTGGCAGTTGTAATGACAATGTACACACAGGTGTATAGTACCGAGGTGGGCGTACAATACTCAATACATGGCCATGGCACAGAATAGATACCGGACCAGAAGGGACACTCCTATGTGTTTTGGCTGAAGGAAAACGTCCGAAATTTTTTTTCGTGCTATGACGCCATCCTGGAGTGCACACGGAACTTTGTACCTATGTTTTCCTATGAAAAACTTCCGTGTGCACTCCAGGATGGCGTCATATGATGGCGTATTTTCACGTCAGCACTCAACAAAATATCGTCTGAGTGACACTTCTGGTTCTGTATCTATTCTGTGGCCATGGGCGCTCACAATGTACTTAATAATCGTATGCGGACGTGACCGAAATACAGTTACGTATGTTTTATTTTTGGATTTGTTACCAGTTTATAGTAGAACCGTCTTCTCTTTTAGGTCCAAACTATCCACCAAACGACGGCAATCTTCACTTACAGGACTTTCTGCCGCCCTTTCCCTTTCCTGTGAACCGCTGGCCAAACACGAGAGGACCGCACCTCTTGGACTACTTCACTAAGAAACCTCCGTTCCGCAGTATGCCAGAAATCAGAGAAGCAGCCAAATTTCCCATCAAGACTAAAATAACCGAGAATTCTGCGTACGAGTGTGTGAAATGCAACAAAGGCTTCGCCACACCCCACGGACTCGAGGTTCATGTCAGGCGTACACACTCAGGCAGGCGTCCCTACGAGTGTCAGGTGTGCGGGAAAACGTTCGGGCACAGTGTGAGCCTGGAACAACATGTCAGCGTACATACCAACGAAAAGTTGTTTTCGTGTAAACAATGCAACAAAACGTTCAAGCGTTCATCGACACTCTCCACCCATATGCTCATACATTCGGATACGCGCCCGTTTCCCTGCGAATATTGTGGCAAGCGGTTTCATCAAAAAAGTGACATGAAAAAACACACGTACATTCATACCGGTGAGAAACCTCACGTTTGTCAAGAATGTGGCAAGGCGTTCAGTCAGTCGTCAAATCTCATCACTCACAGCAGAAAACATACTGGACACAAACCGTTCATCTGTACGATATGTTCCAGAGCTTTTTATAGGAAAGTTGATTTACGAAGGCACGCATTCACACATGAAAATATAAAGCGCTCTAAATTACTGTAATTCACTAAGAACAATGGATTTAGAAAACATAGTATAGAAACAGACCTTTCATTTGTATAATACGATGTTCTACGCCTTTTTATAGTAAAGTTGACCGATGAAGGCACAGAAATCCAGGAGAATTGACACTGGAATTTAACGTTCCAGATGAATTTATTACATAGTTTGATAGAAATTTCATAGGGGGACATTAATTTTTAAAAACAACTCAAGGATGTTGAACGGTTTGAGTACCTCACGAGCGTTATGGTATTATTGGAGTGTTTAAAGGATTAGTGTGTCATTGCGGGCTTTTGTTATTGTTTACATTTTACTAAAATTCAACAAATAGCGATAAAAATATCTTGTTTGGTACATTTCTGATAAAAATTAGACAAAAAGAGCAAGGATTATAAAAGGATGGTTTAAGTATATGATGGATTGTAAAAACTTTCCAGATCATCCAATCTATTCGTCCCGAAAAATGGCCGCCAGCAGGAGTTTGAGCCCGCGAATTCCTGGGGTGACACTAATCCTTTAAGCAAGCGACATTCTTGACAACACGAATGTCAAGAGCGTATGAACAGCAGTTGATGTAGTTTCACATAAGATTTCAAATAAGAACGGCCGCTGGTCGGCGTTTGTGAATCAAAACCGTCGTAAAGAGACTACGACACCGGATGCCAAGTTTATTAAAATAACATCAACCTCAAAGAACGCCCGTGGGGTAGCTAAACCCGATGTTGGGTTATAACGGGATGTTAGGGGATAAATAAATATACTAATACTAACTGTTGGGGGTAAATGGACTTCAATACAGCAAAATAATTGCGTATAAATGTCTTGCTTGAAATTTCATGTCCAGTTATTGTAAAACTATGAGGCTAATCCTAGCTCTAACGCAGGCTATGACATTTATCATAATTCGTGATTACTGGACAAGACAATACGACCAATATTGGCCGTTCATACCTGCACTCATTTGAAAAAAGGTAAAATGTCAAAATGATGCAACAAAAAAACCTCGACACAATAAATATACAGCGTCATTTGACTCATTTGCGGTCGCCATATTGCATTTTCCGCGTCAACTCTATTCTGTGTACATACCTTTGTTTGCTGGGACAGAAATCGGAGAAAAATGCGCGGTTACATATTATCATGTTTTGCGCAGAATAGAGGTGGGGAGTAATTACAAACATATTAGCAAAAGTGGCAACCCGAAATTTAGACTCTATGACGCAAAGCATATATATAGCGCTATATGGGCAAAGTGCATGCCCGCTTCATCGAATTAAGCATATACAATGCGAGTGCTATAATCACACAACGACCTATGCATTCTTCATAAAAAAGTCTTAATTGTAAAAATATATAATGGTATACAATGTTCAAAAATAAAGCGGTTAAAACTATATTACAAAATCATACCTTGGTCGATCGCGGCAAAATTGAAAGAATGACTAATTAAAAATATTCCAAATGTTCTAAAATATAAATATATATGTATGTAGTTTAAAAAATGTACGAGGAAAATACTATTTTCCCTGTTAACCGTCCGCTTGCTTGATGCCTCTCCTATACGCTTTTGATCCCTTCATTTTTATCAAATTACAAGACAGTGCGCAGTTTTAACTGCGCATCTAAAATGACGCGTTTTGCGTGTCGAGATAAAATTGCAGTTGATTCCTCGAGAGCAACTTTTTTCATATTCAAATTAAACCTAAGTTCTATTGTGGCTACATGTAAATACACAGGGATGCTCGAGCAATTGAACACTTGGCTGGTTTACACTATCAAAGTTTCAATAATCACAGTAGGAATTTAACATAGGTACTGATTTGAAGTTTTGAAGGGGATTTGTAAGAAATGTTTGAGAGAACTGACTCAGTGTTAAAAAAAACCCCAGTTCCCTCACACATGTCTTACAAATCCTTCAAAACTTAGAATTTACCTATGCTAAATCATAGATATCTTATATACACTAGATAGTGCATCTAATTATTCTGCAATTCAAAAATCGAAGCCGTGATTGCAGACTCAGGATATTCCCATGAAATGAGAAGACTCGTATGTTTTCTATTTCTTAAACAGGGAACTTAAACATTAAGTTAAACCTATTCCAAATACATTTTCAAACTATTCAAATGATGAAAGTTATAGTTGTTTTTTCAAGCGTTTATTAGCGAGTGGGAAACTTGAACATGGCCGCCATCTATTCAAATGGGGTAACCGCTGGAATATTCTTGGCTTCAATTTTACTAAAAGAGATGCGCTATCTAGTGTATATTATACAAATAATGAATGTTTATGAGTGCAATGGTAAGAATATTTTCATGAGGTGAAAGATGGAATGTTCCATTCAACGAGGCGACAGCCAAGTTGAATGGAACATTCCATCTTTCACCGAATGAAAATATTCTTACCATTGCACGAAGAAACATTCATTATTTGTTTTATATAATACCAAAATAGACTAATAGATTCGTATGAGAAGCATTTTGAGGGATGCGATTTATCGAAAACACAAAGAGTGCAATTGTACTATACGTTTTATTCCATTGCACTCGCGGAGAGTGCAATGGAACGTGTTCCATTGCACTCTTGGGAAATGGAATTTTCTATTCAATATCACGTGACCATAAACAGCCAATTAAACGATTAGAATTTAATAAGGTATTATATAAAAATATCTATGCGCTAAATTCCTACTGTGATCAAAGAAACTTTGATAGTGTAAACCAGGCTTGTGATAAGTATACAATCTCGTACCCAGAGCCATCGTTGCTCTGAGTACGAGATTGATATACGTATATTTCAAGTCTTCCAATCTCGGCTACCATCGGTTATGATTTAAGTGAAATTTTATCCCTAACGCGCGGGCATTTGGACTCGTAGTCCAAACTACACTACCTCGGTTACACTATTTTATCACAAGCCAAGAACAATAAGATGCCGGCGACACTGGGTTGCACACTGGCGAAGAACCATGGGTAAAACACGCGAGACAATCCAACCACACGCGGGACGTCGATGGCGTGCGCCCGCAAGCAACGGTGTGTAGCGGTCAGCGGCCATCATCGATATCGTCAAAAACTGTGCTATACGATGACTTTAAGAAGGAGACATAATTTTGCATACCACGCGTCGTCGTGTTGGCTTGATCGAGCCGATCACGCATGTCGCTGAGACGAGAGGTAAACCGTCGTTCGACCTGCAAAAGTTAGCCAATTAGCCTTTCTCACGCCGCCATTTTTAGGGTATACTGCCCTTTCCAAATCTGAGATTGTACGTAGTGAATAAGGGATTTGTATAACTCAATTGTCAGTATAATAATTGTAAGTTAATTTACAGTTAAATATTTGAAAAAAATGTTTTCACATCGCTTAGATTTTTCAAGTCGTTTTCAAAAAAGTAACCCAAAAATGGCGAATTTGGCCTTCGTGACAAAGGCTAATTAGAAGTGCCGTATCAATCATATACATATTATAGTTTACACATATCATAACATGTGTATAAAGGTTAATTTCATCATTATGTCACCATAGCTTGAGCTATAACCACCGGATCCACTAATTTTAATATCAACCTGATTAATGCTTTTGACATACAACCAACAAACAAACAAACAAACAAGGAGGTAAATCAACAATTCGAACAGACAAACACAAAATAAACGATCAATTCAGAAAGAGAAATTATTAAATATTTAAAAATTTCTATACCTCATCTTTCTCTCTCTTCATCTGAGCAACATTTGCGGTTGCTCTACTCAAGTGAGCTTCCAAATCAGCAATCCGAGCTTGAGATGATCTCTCCTGAAACGATAAAATGGAGAGATCACTTTCATAAATCACTAACTATTTATCCTAACTGCCATCATGGCTTGACTCCTGTCTGGTTATAATTTAGCTTCAGTCACACGTGAGAAGAGTGTTTCCTGTTTGACTCAAACATCACAGGTTTTCTTTGTGGTTTCCTCCTGTAATACAACTGGGCCAAAAATATGAGCCTTAATTGGTCATCTGTGGAGAATAGTGTAGCACTGCCAGAGCTGTCTAATGGAAATACGTTAATTTAGTTCAGATTTTCTCTTGTAGCAACACTGGATCAGTAAGGGATTACTTTTACTGGAATTCAAAGGAGAACAGTTTAGAACTGATAGACAGCTATCAAGTATAAATAAAGTTAGTTTAGTTTAGGTTTCCTCGTGTCGTAGCACTGGATCAATAAGAGATGATCATTACTGGACCACTAGGAAGAACAGTTTAGAACTGATAGAGCTATCCAGTATAAATAAAGTTAGTTTAGTTTAAGTTTCCTCCTGTCATAACACTAGATCAATAAGGGATGATCCTTACTGGACCTCTAGGAAGAACAGTTTAGAACTGATATAGAAATATCCAGTATAAATGAAGTTAGTTTAGTTTAGATTTCTCCTGTAGTAACACTGGATCAATAAGAGATGATCCTTATTGGACCTCTATAGGAAGAACAGTTTAGAACTGATAGAACTATCCAGTATAAATAAAGGTAGTTTAGTTTAGGTTTCCTCCTGTACTAACACTGGATCAATAAGAGATGATGATATATTAGTAAAGGTAGTGTAATTTAGAGCATACCTTGGCAATATTCTTCTCTCGTTGACTTTCAGCTTGTCGTCTTGCATCAGCAAGCGCTGCTTCAAGTTGGAAAGACAACTTAGCGACAATGTCCTTCTTCTCATCAAGTTTCTCCTGTTAAAAATCAACGAGTGTCTGTCAGCGGTGCACTGTCAGTGAAATTAAGTGCCAAAAATGTGTTTCGATGGAGTTCTTACCACCAGACAAAGTCTACTCACTTGCGTTTGTTTCAGAGCTTCTTCACTTCTGCTGACTGAGGCAATAAGATCTCGATTTTCATTGCACAGTTGCTCATACTTTCTGTAATGGAAGAAATAACGAAAATAATTGACATTATCTCTTCAACATCAACCTAAAATGCTAGATAAATATATTGGTAGCAAAACAGCATACCGCTCAAGTGAATCAAATCTCTTGTCATTCTCCTTATTGTATTCTTGAGCAGCACGCCATTTCTCTCGAATCTCCTCGAGTTGATCACTTTGCATCTCAACCTAGTGAATGACGAAGTGTTTTCTTTAGTCGTGTTTACACTACCAGCCCCGGCCTACATTTTGACAGTGTAAACAGACCTTGGCCTGACCTAGGCCAGGAAATCTGGGCTCACTACAATCGGTGGCCTAGGCCTGGCCTAGGCTTGTGGAAATGTAAACACTTTCGGCCCTGGCCTGGGCCTTATTTTCATGGCAACGTGTGCACACAGTGAGAGATTAGCGGACAATGTCACAACACATAACAATACACTTATACACAAAATTAAATACAAAATTCTAGGCCAAAGTGAGCCAAGTCTCAAAAAAACAGTATAATGATGTACATGCGCCACATTTACCTTGGTCTGGTCAAGGCTAGGCCAAGGCTTGTAGTGTAAACACTACTTTTCACAACAAGTCCTTAACACTTGTAGTGTCGCTAGTTTGAGAAGGTGCTCGGTTTGGACAGGATCCACGGTTTCAGTGGTAAAAATATAAATGCGCTGAGTGGTTATACCTTTTGTGTTAACTCTGAAATCAATTGTTTGTGATCACTCGCCCTGCGTTCGTAATCTAACATTCTGTCTTGAGAATCTTGTAGACGACGTTCAGAACCCTGAATATATGTATGAAAATAGAAAATAGAAAATGTTGAATAATCCCGTTCTAACTTTGCGTTGTCATTTAGGGAATAATGGTAGCACATTGGCTTGTTTAACCTCTGTGGCTGTGGCTAGGGTTGGGTTTCTTGCAATATACACGGTTGTCTGATCAATTTTTCTCGTTGCCGTACAAGAAGAGTACTTCCAGTTTGACTCTTCCAAACACCGCAGGGTTTTCTCCCGGTAATTTGGCTTCCTCTCGTGGTAACAATTACAGGACCTTTGGGAAGAAGAGCTTGGAACAAATCTCTTATCCTTGCTTCTACTAACTTTACCTTGAACAGTTCGGAAACAGGTTCAAGTTCTGCAATACGTTGCTGCAAAGCTATTCTGACCTGAAAAAATAATAACATTGTGAAAAATATTGCTGTGTGCTTCTTATAGTAAGACCGTTACCATAATATCCAAGATTTTTGGAACACTTTATCGTAGCTGGAGTGGTAAAGGCTATACCCACCCATCTCCCCAGTGGACAGCCTAAAAAGATGCAATCTAGAGAATACTAACATCATTCCCATTTCCAGGTCATGAATATGGAATCCGCAAAAATATAGGGAGGTCAGCCCCCCAAACCAGCAAGAATTTTTTAACAAGAGAGGCTCAGCCCCCTGAGCTTCAAACAAGCGGGGCTGGGGGGCGCTGAGCCCCACATCTTCTACACCCTTGCTTAGACCAGCCCTGATGAAGACACTAAACTAGAGTCTCGTAACAATTCTTGAACAAATCACGTTGACTATCCAATCATTTCCTTAAACAAGAAATACTGTCAAACCTTCTCGGTCTCAAGATGTCCTTCTTGTTTCACTCTCTCCAAAAGATCTTCTTTTTCTTGTGCATTCATGCGGGCTTCCTCAACATCACGACGATATTTGTCAATCTATAAGATGATAATGAATATTTAAATATACACTTGAATATAAGCTATTTCAGATATAAACGTGCAGGTTTTCTCCTGGTAATCTGGTATCGTCTTTCCAGTTTATACTCCAAAGAGAAAGTTAAACAGAATATTAACTCCTATACAAACTTTAGGTTTCCACTGGACTATTACGGCAAGGCCTTTACCAGACCTTTAGGAAGACCTAATAGAGCTATCCAGTATAGATAAAGTTAGTTTAGATTAGGTTTCCTCCTGTAGTAACACTGGATCAAAAAGACATGACCCTAACTGGACGCTAGGAAGAACTGATAGAGTCTATACTCAGTATAAATAAAGTTAGCTTAGTGTAGGTTTCCTCCTGTAGTGTAACACTTGAATACTACTGGACCCCCAAAACGACATTGATACAATTATCTGGCATAAAAATGCTAACGCTGTGAAGGCATTTGGTCGAAACGCTACACGTACCCTTTCGTATTTTCAGACGAGGTAAAACGTTTGAAAATTTTATATTTCAACACCGTATCGTGCAGCAATGAGAATCAAATATAGATCTGTTTGTTATTTTGTACTAACGACAATGGAAAACTGGTGGTCAAAGGCAACTTTGGGCTTTCAGGGATATATAACCACTTGACTATACCTTCACAGTATATGGATAAGGTTAAATTATATGCACTGTAATCTGTACCTGTGCCTTGTACTGTGATGCTAAGCTTTCATACTGATTTAAACGCTTCCTCAAATCTGCTATTTCTACCTGACAACTTTCTACCTGTATAAAA